TAACTAATTAGGATAACTGATTCTGATTTGTAGTACAAACATGGTTCTTTTTTGGGTGGGGGGATTAACTAAATTACTAATGGGGGAATCTATAAATTGCAGTGCTCTAATAGATTGTGTAGGATGTGAGAAATGCCGCCTCTGGGGGAAGCTTCAAGTTTTAGGCCTTGGAACTGCCTTAAAAATCCTCTTCTCCGTGGATGGTCAGAAGCACCCAATGCCACCGGTGAGCTTACCTGGAGTTGTTTTAGGAATAAATATATCACCAAACACACTCATATCTCAACACTACTGTTTTAACAGCTGCAGTTGCAAAGAAACGAAGTCATTGCTCTGATGAACCTGCTGAATCGCCTATCAGAATCACTCAATTTTGTCCGTGAAATAAGTCCAAACATTGAGAAATCATTGGAGAGACTTGTTACTGACCATTCCGTCTCAGTAATCAGTTCTTGGCGTAAAGCAGTGGAAGCTGTAGTAGGGATTCGGTAGGAAACTAATCTCAACTCTTTTGGGTCCATTTGGAACCCAGAAAATGTCAGAGAAAGAAAATTAGGGAGAAAATAGTATGGAAAATTAGAATGATTTTTGTTTGTTTGTGTGAGAAAATTGAACAGATTTAGACCCGATAAATTTATTTTAGGTATATCCTCAAAGCTGTTATATTTGTTTATTACTGAACACAGGTAGTATATAGACTTGAGAAATATAAACACACACACACACATCATGTGAACTTGTTTTTATAATGTAATTTTATTGCATTTTCATTTGCATTTTCCGAGTCAAACCTTGCATGAGCAATTAAGATTCCTTGTTTTTTTCCTTTGCCTAGTACTTTTCTGGATCCAAACATACCCTTGATGTTTTACATCACGTCCTGATATAATAAGACTTGATAAATCAGACCAAGATGATAAGGTATGTTTCTTTTGTTTCAGGTCAAGGAGCTCCACCACGTGATTATCATCCGCCATGCTTGGAATAGATTTGAGTACCCATTCATACCACAATCGGAACATACTCATAGAGCTTTTATATTTTATTAGACTGTAACAAAGAGAGATATCTTATGTATGTATAGGCATGGCTGTAAGCAGAACATGAGAGATTAAAAAGGTCAAAATTGAGGAACCATTTGTGTCATTTGATGTGCTCCTGTACAGGGGTGGCTCAAATGTGGTTTTTGAATGTAAGATTGTAAGCTGTTGTTGAAATTTGCTGGGAATGAAATTACTACCCATACTTTGATGTTTGGCCTATTTGTTGCATTTAACAAACTGCAGGAGAAAAAAATGTTTGTAGCCAACAAAATGAAGCATTGTGAATTGTGATGAAGGATAGTATCTTCAAAAGGTCAACACTGGTTGTATACTCTATGTCACTCTGCCACCAAAAAAATTCAAAAGGCCTGAGAAAGTTAACAAACATAAAAACTTTAATTTTTTGTGGCACTAATTGATATAGTACCACCGTTGCTTAGGGATGGACTCGGGCCGGGCCAACCGGCCTGGAACCGGACCGGCCCGGTTTGGCGGTTGGTGCCCGGTTCGGGCCACCCGGCCCGGTCTTCAAGCGGTTCGGTTCCGGGCCTAGATTTCAGTGAACCGGCCCGGCCGGGCCGCAACGGTAACATTTTTTTTTAAATACTAGAAGGCTCCATAGCTGTTGGGAGAGCTCCCAAACGGCTCTATAGCCGTTGGGAGCATAGGAGGGGGGGGGGGGGGGGGGTCTGGGGGTTAGGGGGGGTGGGGTATACAAAAAAAACCTATTTATACTCCTATTTTCTATACATTTTTTACACCTCTTCTTCTACAACTCTTCTTACTCTCTAAATTCTCTATTCTCTCAATCTCTCATATTCAATCATCTTCATTCTTCATCTTCTCCAAATTCTTTCTACATATATATAATTTATATAATTATTATATCTACTTATATATTAATTATCTACTTATAAATATATACTTATACACATTCATATTATAATTCTTTACGCATTATATTATATATACTATATATAGTTATACATTATATTATATATTACTTATAATATATTTACACATTATATATTTATATATACTATATATACTTATACTCATTGACTTCTCGTTTATATACTATATTCTTTACACATTATATTATATATACTATATATAGTTATACATACATTTTATAAAAGTAGTTAATTGTTAGACTTCTCGTTTATCTATTAAATTACTTAATTGTTTCATTTGTCATATTAATATTAGTTAAAGTAGTTAATTGTTTCATTTGTCATATTAATATGAGTTAAAGTAGTTAATTGTTTCATTTGTCATACTAATATTAGTTAAAGACTTAAAGTAGTTAAAGTTAATTGTTTCATTTGTCATATTAATATTAGTTAAACTACTTAATTGTTACATTTCTCATATTAATATTAGTTAATTGCTACATTGCTCATTAAAGTAGTTAATTTTTACATTTATCATATTAGTTAATTGCTACATTGCTCATTCAAGTAAAAAAAAAGTAGTTAATTTTTACATTTCTCATATTAGTTAATTACTTAATTGCTACATTTTTACATTTCTCATATTAGTTAATTGCTACATTTCTCATTAAAGTAAAAAAAAGTAGTTAATTTTTACATTTCTCATATTAGTTAATTGCTACATTTTTACATTTCTCATATTAGTTAATTGCTACATTTCTCATTAAAGTAAAAAAAAGTAGTTATTTTTTACATTTCTCATATTAGTTAATTGCTACATTTTTACATTTCTCATATTAGTTAATTGCTACATTTCTCATTAAAGTAAAAAAAAGTAGTTAATTTTTACATTTCTCATATTAGTTAATTGCTACATTTTTACATTTCTCATATTAGTTAATTGCTAATATTTGTTCAATTTTAAAGATGGAGCGTGGTAGACATTCTGTAGATGTGAGTAATCTCCAACGCAACCGCAAGAGGGAGATTGCATCGACTCGATCTACTTCACGCAAAGGCAAAGAAAAATCACTTTTAAAATCCGCTTTTGGTTCTCTTTTGAAAAAAAGTAGAGCAACTCCCGCTACTGAACAAAACTCAGGTAACGAGCTTTCTTTGTATCTAACATTGAATGTTGATTATGAAGTTGATGATGACTTTGACGTTCTTAAGTGGTGGAAGGAAAATGAAAGAACATTCCCGATTTTATCAAAGATGGCTAAGCAAGTGCTAGCAATGCCGATATCAACCGTTGCCGTGGAACAAAAATTTAGTGCGGTCGGCAACGTCCTAACCGATTATAGAACGAGGTTGAGCCCGAGCTCTCTTGAGACACTAGTTTGCTTTCACGATTGGTTGAAGGCCCAACGAAGAACTCAAGAAATTACCATCACTCCCACCCACCACTTTATGGAGGAAACAACCGAAGGCGGAGATTCCGATTGATTTTTTATTACAAAATGTATTACATTTTTTAAATTCATCCTAATTCTCAATTGTACTTCTTATTTGAAATAAATATACTTGAATTCGAATATAATATATCGTAATTGTAATAAGAATTATTCTAATAATATAATATATAATAAAAAAAATAATTAAAAGGCCCGGCCCGGCGGGCGGCCCGGCCCGTGAACCGGGCGGGTGACCCGAACCGAACCGGACCCGGGGTTATCCGGGCCGGTTCCGGGCCTGCCTTCCGTGAACCGAGGCCCGGCCGGTTCTAGGCCCGAACCTAGTCCACCACTACCATTGCTCCGGAAGATATTAGATATACTGGGTTACAAGGTGTTACATTTAAAAAAAGGATTACAAGGTGTTAACAATATGCTTAGTATATTGGCTTTGTTTGGAAATTGGAACTCAAAAATGGCATGCAAAATAGAAAAGTACCTAGGAATTTTTTAAATATCTAAATTTACTTTAAAATATATAAAAGAAAATCTAATTTGTCTACTGACTTATGTCATCACATTAATAAAACATATAAATAAATAATTAAATAAGTGCGGAAAACTTTTTTCACACTTAATTCATTTCATAATAAAGCATATGTTTTTTGGGATTGAATTTTGTTGATTTAGTTTTTTGTAAACATTTACTGTTTACAAACGACACTAATGGAATTAATGATGATGATGAGTTATTTGTTTACATTAGGTATTCTTGAGAAAATAGTTGTGATTGAAAAAAATATTTTATGTTAATTAGAAAAAATGCTTATTTTATCGTTAAGTATTGTGTAATTAAAAAGTAACCCAACCTGAAAAACTATAAAAAGTCAAACACAAACGCATTATTGTTTGATTTGGTTGTGTTTACTGCAACTAACTCCTAAACCTCGGCTTAAGTTTAGGCTAAAAGTGATATGTTAAGACCTAAGACTCTTTGGAGTTTGGACCAAGGAAAATGAGATCACAAGTAGGGAATGTAAAGTGATACTTCCTCCCTCAGTCCCTCCCTTAAAACTTTGCCAATTTTCCGTTTTTGAATGTTCCTGGTAATGGAAATTGTTCTAAATAGGAGTAAAAACGTTTTGAAATTTCATAATAAAAGTTTCATATTTTTATTCCCTAAATAGAAGTAATTCAGCCATGTTTTGAAAAAAAATGTCATGTTTAGGGAATAAAAAACATGATAGTCCTATTTTGGAATTTCAAAACTTTTTTACTCCTATTTAGAGAACTTTCCCTTCAGTTAATTCTCTCTTCTCTGCACAAATCTCAACCACACAGTTTTTACTCTATTAATCCTGTGTCTGTTAAACTTGACAAACTTTTGAGGGATGGGGGAGTAAAATTTAAAATATACTACGTACAAAGTATTACCTCTGTCCCAATTGACTTTGCCCCCCTTAAGTTAGGTGAGAAATAAGAATAGTAAAAATTGCGTGGTTCAAATTTGTGCAGAGGCGAGAGAAATAAGTAGAATTACAAAATAGTTACTTTAATGGAAAAGTGACAAATTTTTTTTGGGAAAACCAAAAAAAGAAAGATACAAAGTCCAGTTGGATGTAATTGGATGTAGGGAGTATAAGGATAATTTCTAACCATTGTTCATAAAATAACGGAGATCACAAACAGTACCTGATCTTAGCTCTAAGCTAATCTTGCCATCTTCGCTCCTTCATTTCACTGTTCATGGTCTCTTACACTCTATCATCCTTAATCGGAAAATCAACCTCATAATCAACGAGAATTCTAACCAGGCGAATCCCGCCCTCATCTCCGTCACTCCGTTGCCAAATCCATACCAGGTACGATTTTATTAGTTAATCTATCTACCTACTTTAATTGCAGCAACAAGTTCTGGAATGAAAAATTGTAGTCGGGTCAATGTGTCCTGGTGATTGTTAGATCCATGTGAATTCATAATATCCGTAAATGCATTCATTTTCCGTGTTTGTTTGGGAGATTCTGCATTTGCGGCATGTGTTAAGCTGTCTTCCCCTGCACGGTTCTGACATTCTGATCGTTTCGATTGCATTGCATTTTTACTTTTAGACAAATGTTGGTTCCTTGTTTCCCCTTTAATTCATTTTGGAAATTTGATGTTGAATTCGCAGATTCATGATTTCTGCACCATTACCGGCGTTTTAGATCCAGTAGGGGCTTAGCGATGTTGTTTTTATCAATCTCTAGGGGATTCTCCTCAGCTTTGTTATATCTCGTTCTCATTTCACACTTTTGTAATGCTTTTTATTTGCCGGGCACATACATGCATACATACTCCACTGGTGATGAAATCTATGTTAAAGTTAATTCATTAACCTCAATTGAGACGGAACTTCCCTTCAGCTACTATACACTTCCTTACTGCAAACCTCCAAATGGAATCAAGAAAAGCGCTGAGAATCTTGGAGAGTTGTTGATGGGAGATCAGATTGATAACTCTCCCTACCGTTTCCGGATGAATGTGAACGAGTCAGTTTACCTCTGCACTACTCCACCGTTGAAGGACCACGAAGTGAAGCTCTTGAAACAGAGGACACATGATCTTTATCAGGTAAATATGATTCTTGACAATTTGCCTGCTTTGAGGTATGCCATGCAGAATGGAATGACGATTCAATGGACAGGATATCCTGTTGGATACACATCCCCAAACAGTAATAGTGAAGATTACATTATCAACCACCTGAAGTTTAAGGTTTTGATCCACGAGTACGAGGGAGCTGGAGTGAAGATAATCGGTACTGGGGAAGAAGGTATGGGTGTTATTACAGAGACTGATAAGAAGACGACTGCTGGTTATGAAATTGTTGGCTTTGAGGTTGTCCCTTGTAGTGTGAAATATGATCCTGAAAAAATGGTCAAGCTTCACATGTATGATGCCACTGCATCAATACAATGTCCACTTGCGATTGACAAATCTCAGGTTATAAAGGAGCAAGAGAGGATATCATTCACTTATGAGGTTGAATTTGTTAAAAGCAATGTCAGATGGCCATCAAGATGGGATGCATATCTCAAGATGGAAGGTGATCGTGTTCACTGGTTCTCTATTCTCAACTCCTTGATGGTGATCTTCTTCTTGGCTGGGATTGTTTTTGTTATCTTTTTGAGAACTGTCAGAAGGGATTTAACAAGGTATGAGTTTAGCTAGGAGTGTTTAAAAATCAATTTAAATAGTAAACCATATTATTGAAATGTACTCCCTCCATCCGTCTTTATAAGATATCGACCAAATCACACCGTTTAAGAAATGCATTGTTTGAGTGGCAGGTTAACTAAAAAAATTATATTTTACCTAAAATACATCATTGAATACGAAATCGTTTAATTAGAATTTAAAAAACTTTGTGAAAAATGTAGTTTACATAAAAAGGACAAATGAAAAAGAAAGAAGGAATTTTGGTCAGAAAGAGCCTATTTTCTTGGACTTGTTTCATTCCCAGGTTACAACAACATTCCCAGATTATACTCGTACTAAAATACTAGTAATAAAATACGCATATTATCAAATCAGAAGATAGCAAACCAGACCAATTTAGGACCAGAGCACACTTAAACAGACAATCTAGACTAAAATTAAAAAGATTGGACTAGACTAGGTCAGACCACTTTAAAGCAAACCAGTAAATTTCACTCCAATTGAACAGGCCCTAGAGACACATAAATATGAACAAGGGGAGTATTTGAAGTGATTTGAAGTGCTTATACTTGATATTTGGATATTAACCTATTTGAATATACCGGTATTTGTATTTGATTTGAAAACAATTAGAATTGAAATATATATTTTCAGTCATATTTAAAATGTAATCACGATTTGAATCAAGAGTCTTAATTGATTTTTTACAACCCCTAGGTATGAGGAATTGGACAAAGAGGCTCAGGCACAGATGAACGAGGAACTCTCTGGGTGGAAGTTAGTGGTTGGTGATGTGTTCAGAGAACCAAATCACTCCAAGCTACTCTGTGTTATGATAGGAGATGGAGTTCGGATAACAGGAATGGCAGTTGTGACTATTCTTTTTGCAGCCCTTGGTTTCATGTCACCAGCTTCCAGGGGCATGTTGTTAACAGGGATGATAATGCTTTACTTGTTCTTGGGTATATCAGCTGGTTATGTAGGAGTCCGGCTATGGATAACCATCAAAGGGAATCCAGAGGGATGGAAGTCGGTCTGTTGGGCGAGCGCGTGTTTCTTCCCGGGCATCGTTTTTATAATACTCACAGCTTTGAATTTTATTCTCTGGGGAAGCAATAGCACAGGTGCAATCCCCATTTCCCTATACTTCAAACTGTTCGCACTATGGTTTTGCATTTCAGTCCCACTCACTCTCTTGGGAGGATATATTGGGACCCGGGCGGAGCCCATCAAATACCCGGTCCGAACCAATCAGATCCCCAGAGAGATCCCATCCCGAAAATACCCCTCATGGATTCTTGTTCTCGGAGCGGGAACTCTCCCGTTCGGGACCCTCTTCATAGAACTCTTCTTCATCTTATCAAGCATATGGCTGGGACGGTTCTATTACGTATTCGGTTTCCTCCTCATTGTTTTCCTCCTCTTGGTGATTGTTTGCGCGGAAGTATCGGTCGTGCTCACATACATGCATCTCTGTGTTGAGGATTGGATGTGGTGGTGGAAAGGGTTCTATGCCTCCGGCTCCGTTGCTCTCTATGTCTTCTTGTATTCCATTAATTATTTGGTGTTTGATCTTCGGAGCTTGAGTGGGCCCGTGTCTGCCACGCTGTATTTAGGATATTCATTGATAGTGGCAGTTGCGATCATGCTTGCCACCGGGACTATTGGTTTCCTCACATCGTTTTACTTTGTCCATTACCTCTTCTCGTCTGTGAAGATTGACTGAGCCACATTCTTTAATGAACTGGCCACAGGCCATCTTTGTTTAAAGCAGGAGAAGTATTTCTTTTTCTACAGATAGCAAAACAAATTCCTTATGTTTTTTATGCAATATTTGACTCATTTAGATGAGACCCTGTGAATTTATTAGCTGTTTTATGTTCGACGTTTTTCTGCATTCAAAATTTGTTGTAGCAGTTGCTGAGCTGCACGTCCATTTTTTTGGACAATGTATTGATAAGGCTTTGATACTGTCATACTGAAATAGCTTGATCTGCATGGCCGGTAATTACTAATTACCAGTGTTTGGAACACCTTAAAAAGACCAATTAATAGATTATGTTTGGAGTATCAACTATTATTATATACGATCCGGAACTTTGACGATAGATCTAAAAAATCATTAACGATAAACATATACTGTATATGATACTCGTGTTTTTATAAGTATAAAAACGTTTTAAATTCTTTGTAGAGGTTGGAGGTTAAAGCTTGAAACACTTGGATATGGAAGGTTGCTGCGTATTGTCATTTGTCAAAAACCGAAAGGCTAAAGATTGGAGAAGAATGATATAGTAGTAATTGCAAAAAGAATTTAATAATTAGAGTTGAATTTAGTTATGGACTTGAGGTAAAATCAGTTCGACTCGCTTGGGCTTGTGTAAAAACTAAAATCTGCAATTTAACCTCAGCTTTTGACAACATCGAAATTGATGTATGAGGTTAATATAAAGAATTATTCTACTCCGTATCAAATATAGAGAAATGATAAAAATAAGAACCTCCACTTTTGAGTAGACAAAAGAGTATCAATTTTCATTTTAGGCAAAAAAATACGAAGTATAATTGATGACTAAACATAAAAGTAGTTAATTTTATATACTAAGAGCCCGTCTGGCAGCACGAAAATCGGCTGTTTTGACTGATTCTGCTGAAATTTATGAAGTTCTGGCTGAAGTGGCTGCATTGGTTGATTCGACTGATACAAGAAAAAAATATTTTTAATATATATTTCATTAATAAAATAAAGAAAAACTTATATGTAAAAATAGCTAAAATGGCCATCTACAGTAACTTCAGCCAATACAACCAGAAAAGTAACTCTAACCTTACTTTTTCGGCTTATTACACAATTTAGTGCGCGAAAGAAAAATTTATGTGTTTGGTAAAAAAATTGGCTGATAAACATGATAAGCCGAAAATGAGGGTTGCCAAAAGGCCTCTAAATGTAAAAGTAGGTGTCAAAATATATACTAAATGATTATACACTATACAGAGTTAATTTTATTTAACTTGAATTGTGATGATGATTATAAATGATGGATATTTTATACTAAAATGAGTTGTTTCAAATAGAAGTTCTTGGTGCAACATTATAAAATAAACTCAATAAAATCTGTAAGTCTAGAACTATGAATTAGTAAATTCAAAGTGAGTAGATATAATTAGAACGAATAAATGAATTCAAATGGTTGGAGCGACTAAAACTATGATTTATTGAGTTTCTAGTTTCTATTAGAGATATTAACTTTACATAATGCAATCTATTATTGATCGCCCAAAAATATTTCATATCCCAATTATTCAAATATTTAACAAGAATGATACAAAGCTATTTCTAACATAAAGTCCGGCCGTGTATACTCTTTGTACACGTTTTGAAGTTTACACGTTTTTACACTTGTCTGTGAAGGTCATTTTTTATTTTTTATTTTGTCGGTGAACAGCGTTTCACAGACAAAACATGTTTTGTCTGTGAAAACACTATTCACAGACAAAAAATGACCTTCATGGACAAGTGTAAAAACGTGTAAACTTGTCAAACGTGTACCAACAGAATTTTTGTTTTTTTGAAGGTCAACCCACATGTTTTGGATGATTTGAATTATTACCAGATTAAATATCCGAAAATGAATCTATGTTATTTTCGTTATATATTTGAATAGTTGGTGTATCATACTATGAGATACTATTTCCATAATACGGAGTACACATATTGTTTAACGATCGATGATAATTGATATTATTTGAACTTATTTTCACTTTATAATGTATAAAGAATTTCATAAAATCAATTTGTGATAGTAGAGAATTGAAATTTTAGATTGGGAGAATGAAAATCTAGAGACAGAAAAAAGGGAAAACATACTCTGTCTGTCTGTAATGTTTATTCATGTTTCAGTAACCATTTGGATGGAAAGAAAAAGGGAAACGTGTCAAATAAGTCCACGTACTATATAGACAATGTCAATTAGACCCCCGAACTAAAGAAACACCCAATTAAACACCCGAACTATGAAAAAACATTCAAATCAGCTTTTTAACAGGTTACCAACCGGTTACAAGGTACATTTTCACACGTGGCAACACGTGGCGGCATGTGGCGACACATATGTAATATTTTTTTCTTTTTTCTTTTATCTTTCCTTTTCTTTCTTTCGTTTCTTTTTTCCTTTCCTTTTCATCCTCCCTAGCTCGTGATGTCTCAGGTTCTTCCTTCTTTCATTAACTCCAATCACAATTCATAGAAGTGCAGATCCCACCATTTCGACGAGCCAACGTCGCCTGATTTCGCCACCAAACTCCACCTGATTTCGCTGCCAAACGCCGCTCGATTTCGCCTCTCCAACGCCGTCGTAACAGACTAACAGAAGAGGACGAACTTGAGCTTCATCCCAATTTGGTCCCATCGATCTCTAGAAGCTTGATTCCAATTTGAAGAACTTAAAGATAATACAGAGTAGTTCTCATTCAGGGGCAAAAAACCAGGGGCGGCGGAGACAGGCGATGAAGGCGGTGGTGGTGTCCTGTCTTCGGCGTCCACTCACGTTAGCGAAGAAGACGGGTGAGGGCGACAAACCAAGTGAACGGAAGAGGACTTCTCGCTAGCAGAGAACCTTGGAGAGAAAAGGAAGAAGGATAAAGAAAAAGAAACAAAAGAGAGAAGGGAGGAAGAAGCTCACGCGCAGGGAGCAGAGGAAGAAGAAAGGAGAAGAAAGAAGGAAAAAGAAAAAGAAAATAAAAATGCCAGATCCGTAATTTGACCGGCAACCGGAAGACCACAGGCTAAAAAAACAATTTGACTCATTTTTTATGGTTTGTGGGTTTAATTGGGTGATATTTGTGTTGGTGGAATTAATTGACATTTTCGTAATAGTAGGAGGGCCTATTTGACCCATTTCCCAAAGAAAAATTCGAAAATTTAAGGTCTATAGAGAAAAGAGGTTAGGAAGAAACATAATACTTCCTCCGTCCCGTTAACAATGGGACAAGAGGAAGTGACACAAACTTTATGCAAATTAATAAAAAGTGTTGTATGTGGTTGATATTGAATTGATAAAGTAAGAATAAACTAAGAATGATTTAGAGCCACACAAACTTTACCAAATTTGGTATGAGACAATCTTGGTGGGATGGACCGATAAGGTAAATGGGACAATCATAGCGTGACGTAGGTAGTAATGAATATGAGAGGTAATGAATTAGGGAGATTATGGTAGAAATTAAAATGAAATATAAATGTATATTTGTGATAATGATATCTTTCTAATGAGAAAAAAAAAATATCTTTCTAATGAGATATGCATTAGTATATCTCTTGCAAAATTATAAATATGAATGAGGGTATAGCTGTTGTAGATAATACAAATTTGTTGGTGTAACATTTAAGCTTTATGAAGATGTACTTTACGATCAAGTTCATGTACTAATTGTAAATTTGTAACATACATATGTGCTTTTTGTGTAATAAAAAGGTAAAAAGCAATTTCTAACTTTAAGCTTTTAAGTGTTCGAATTTAAGCAGAAATTATCACTTGAAAACACATATCTCAACTTCTCACCTTCTAATCCAAAAGCTGAAAATTGTTTGCCAACACACCCTTAACTACTCTGCTTAGCGTAATCACTTACATCCCAAAGTAAGTTTCTCACGGAAGAGTAGCAAGGTTAGCTAATCCACCTCGTTTGGGTTAGACGGATATCTGCCCCAAGTTCCGAACGTCTCTCGCTCGCTTTTGTCTCCCTTTTCCCTTTGTTTTACTATTACTGGCGGTGATTGCATTTAAAGAAGACTTCATCATTTAGTATACTAGAGGTGGATAAAAATACCGAACTGACATGATACCGAACCGTAAAATGGGGTTTGAAACGGTTTTCAAAATTTTTGTTCTGGATCGGATTGTACTGACTCCGAACTTTACCATGACCGGTTCTCATCAAATGAAAACCAGTACCGGATCGACCCGGACCGAACTGAAGTATGGTTTATCTAATTAAAATTATAAGTACATATATACCATTACTTTGACTATTACCTTTTCACTTTCACGACCTTTGCTAGTTCGCTGGAAGCTGGATCACTGCTTGCGGATCTTCATGGGGGGTTAAGTCGAGCCCAATTTTTCTTAATTTTTTATTATAGATATAGACTTAACAAAAATTGATGCTCAACCCAAAGAGTTTGCAGTTGCAGTCTACTAGAGTTTATTTCAAATTAATGTTTTGTGATTTATATTTTGCACTACTATAATTTATCTGAAATTTATTAATTATGTAAAATGAAAATCAATAAATTATGTGAATTTTTGGAGGACGGCTAACCTTTAATTTTTCGGGAAAAAATAGAATTATTTGATATTTATATGACATGATACCGTCTCGTTTAAAAATAGAATTATACCGAACGGTTTGAGATATAAGACTCCATCAAACCACAAACCAAATAGTCCCTCCGTTCCGGAATTATCTTCCTACTTTTCCTTTTCGGTTTGTCCTAAATTTATCTCTTTTTTCCCTTTTTAGCAAAGAATTTGTAGTTAACAACCACTCTAACACATTCTTACGCATTTCTCTTTCCTCTTCACAATTCTCCGTCGTACATTTCCCACTATCATGTGTGACAATTGTACTTTTGAGGACAAATATAAGAGGACGGAGGGAGTAGTTTCTATAGTAAAAAAAATCTGATTATAACCTTCCGTTTTTTCCATCTCCTGTGCAACGCCAGTTAAAGAAATTGGAGAATTTCTTTCAGTTTTAGCCTTCATTTGAACGACGTGGTTTCATCGATTGGCAAAGGTTCTTTTCCGCTGCTCAGCACTGTTCTACAGGTAAGGCTTCCGGCTTATAGCCCCTACTATTTTTAGCGCCCTATTTCTATTGTTTGTTCAACTTTGTTTCCTATGTGATACAATATTGCTCTATAGAGCATTTGTTAAAAAGGCGAGTGCATATGTTGATCATTTTTTTTGATTTGCAAGTCATACGTTTTCCTTTCACATGTTCCATAAACGATAAAGTATTAGGCCATTGTGTTATGTTTCAGATGTTTAGTTTGACAGTCATGTGTTTGACAAAATGCCCACAAGACACACTTTTGATAGTTTTAAATGTTTGGTAGTTCTTTCAATTTTGCCGTAATATTTGCACCTGATATTGTCATCTCTTTTGAAACAGTATGATGGTTTTCATCTCTTTAATACATTTTGTCATCATGTTCATTGTAATGATTAATCATTTAGTTAATACATAGTATAAACTTGGCAAAGACACCAATAATTCCTACTTTTACACATTTTACATAAATAATCCCTAATTGAAAAGTTCACACCAATAATCTCAACTAGTTAACTGTTTTACTAAAATAAACCGAGTGCTAACTGTGTTAAGTTTTTCATTATTTTTTTTAATATGTTGAAGTGAAAATATATATAAACATTAGCAATATTATTTTTGAGTTCATTCTTGTTTCTACTAAAAATATAATTTAATATTCAATATTTTTCAAGAAACATAATAAAAATATTTGAACACTACATAGTACATACTCTTCAAATTCTCTATTCTCTTTTATTCCTTATCCATATTTTATTTATATTCATTATATTTTTGTTATTTATTATAATAGAGATTTCAAATAAATTTTAGTAATACTACATTAAAAATCAATACAGATTAAGTAGAATATTGAATATTTAATATGCATATTTCTATTATATTTTATGAAAAATATTAAATTAAATTAATCATAGAAAAAGATTAAACTTAAATATAATATTATTAATTTTTATACATATTTTTGCTTTGATATATTCTAAATTTTAAAAAACTAACGGAAAAGTTAACACCGTTAAAATTCAGATTATTTTTGTGAAACGATTAACTAATAGAGATTATTGGTGTGAACTTTTCAAGTAGGGATTGTTTTTGTAAAACGTGTATAAGTATGGATTATTGGTGTCAATTCGCCTATAAACTTTAATAAACTATTATGTTCATAACCCTGTTATCAATTACGTGTACCTGTTGGCTTAACTTTGTCAACACTCATATTGGGCTTAAGTTTTGTTTATATAGATATTCAGAATATAAACATGTTTCCTGAATTCCTGTTTTAAAATTACTTGTTGATTATTTGTAAAACATGATTATGGGCCTATGGGGGCTGCACAAGAGGATGGAGAATTTCTTTTGGACGGGACAACTGGATGGACCTATTCCACAAACCACCTTCTCTACATCACCTAAGCTCCTCTTTATGTGATACAGGTCGGCATACCTTCATTTATGCGGTTTTTAGACAACGTTGATGTTGATGATGGTTAAGAACTACTTGAACTTATGGAAATGGAAAGACGCGTAAGATGGAAATTTAACGTTTTGCTTACATGTAAGTTCAATTTTAAATTTCCATGCATAATATATAAAAATAGCTCTAGCTTTCTAGCATTGTGTATTTGTGTTTATAATAATAATCTTATACGGTTGCTTACTTGCTACAAGTTTCCTGGGGATGACATCCCTATTATTAGAGAATCTACTTTATCAGCATTGTGAAGTAAAACTTAGGAAATTAGCCAATAGGATGGAGGTTATTTTGGAGGTTAATGGATATTGTAAATGAATATATTATATGATCTTGATCATGTTTGTCAGCTTGATAAGGCATATCGATCTAATGCCAAACTAAAGCTTATTTTGTAATTTCAAGTAATAAGCCACTCACAATTGCAATTTAATTATATTATGCATATACCCAGGAGTCATTAATATCTAGGCATAAATTTGCATTCTAAAAACTTCTATTTGCCCACATTAAAAATCGAACACAATAGGCCTTTTACATAGGTTTTCCTTGATAAAAATATAATTAATTATGAAAGACAGGCCTTTTACATTTTCCTTTGAAGCCAAATAGCCAACTAATCACTCTTCCACCAAAAGAAAAAGGTCCATTTGGATTTTTAGAGACCTCATTGGATATATATAAATTATATCCTTTCAATTTTCATATAAGATGCAAGTCCAGTTACACTTCTGTACTACAGGAAAAAATAACTAAGCATCTTCATTACAAAATGTTATTGGGCATTGCCCTATTCACGCGACGCAGATAATATTTTACATTTTCATTTATTATTTTAGCTGTATTAATAAACAAGTTTACTACCTAAAATAATGTGTTTAAATCAAAATAATAAACTTCAGCTTTGGTTCATTCTGCTACACATAGTTTAAATGTAATTGATTTGCTTTTTCACTTTCTTGTATGTGTCACTATTAATCTCAAAAAATATGTAAAAAATATCTTCTATTATGATCACTAAAACTATTATTATTTTATCGTGTATAAAAATTAGAAAACTACTATAATATGTTCAAAAGATGTGTTGATTCCTAAACTATGACTAGATAGTTTCTTTTAGAGTTTTTGTCACTTTTATGTCACTGACACTTTTGTACTCGGCTTGATTTTTTGACTTTTAGTCCTGTGATTATTGTGCGAAAGACACTTTTGATACATATTTTTGAAAGTTTCCACATTTAGTCCTGATACTTTCGTAAAAGTGACACTTTTGGTCCTCCATTTTTGTGTCAAAATTATAGTGGAAGGACTAAAAATGTCAATTTGATAATACTCAGGGGACTAAATGTGGGAAATTTTGGCGTCGAGGACTAAAAGTGTCTCCCGCATAATAGTCGAAGCACCAAAAATAAAAAAATTAAAAGTCGAGTACCAAAATTGTCATTGACACAATAGTCGGGGGACTGAAAGTGGTGTTTTATGGGGGTGTTTGGAACTGATTCTGCTTCTGCTTCTTTTTTTAAAGCATAAGCAGAATCAGAATCAGTTTTCAGAAGCTGGTCGCCCCCAACACTCCAACTTTCAGAAGCAGTTTTAAGAATCAGATCCAAACACCTCCTATATGTATGACATGTATTTTGATTCTACTTTTTTCTCACGAATTCAATTATGACATATAGAGTCATGTGTAAGTTTGTTAGTCTTATATTAGGAATGTATGAGTATTTTAGTCACATTTAAATAAATTTCCCATAAAAAAACACTTTTTCCCTTCAAACATTATTTTGTGATATATTAATCATTGTTTTGTTAACATTTTTCCTTCCCATAAAAAATCACAGCACACTTCGGCATCATTTTCCTTTCTAGTTTACAGTGTGTTTCGCTCTTTCTCGAATCAATTGTATGATTCCTATTTCAGTTTGTTTGCAGTTGCAATTTTCTCAGTTGAAAACTTTTGAGCAATTGAATTGAATAATTGATTACTGCACACTCACCATTCAAGTTCTGTGTAAATTAGAGACTGAGTTATTGCACTCTTCTTTGGTACTTAGTAATTGTTAGTATCATTACTCATAAGGTTTCTCCATATTTGTGTGCATATCATCATATTAATATCCGTGATCTCCTTTTAGCTTTATAAGATGTTTTTTTATAAGGTAGTCAACATAAGAAACCCAAGGTAAGTCGTAATTCAAAACATATCATTTCAAATTGTCAATGCATGTGGATCCCTTAATGACTTGTGAAAATACTGTTATTATGATTCTAATGCTAGATTTTTTTGAACATACATAGTTTCTTTCTGCAATTCAGCTCTAGCCCTTGAAGCTAATGGAAATGTTTGCTTGTCTGTAGATGATAGGTTTTGTGTGGACTGGTACACAAGTGGTGAGAGAGATGTCAACAAAGATCTTTGATCCCGTAAACATCTAGAAAATGGGCGGGTCAGCGAATTATCTGTGCATAAAATGTGATGGAGGGGGGAAGATGTTAGTCTGTAGTGATAGTAGCTGTCCTATAGTTGTACATGAGAAGTGTATGGGTTGCCGGCCTTACTTCGATCGTGAAGGAAACTTTTACTGCCCATACTGTTTATGCAGACAAACAACTGCAGAATCGTGTAAAGCAATTGAGCTTGTTTTGCTTAAAAAGCGAGCCCTGTCCGCTTTCCTGAATAAGGAAATGGTTAACAGTGAGAAACTACTCCCCCAACCGTCTCATGTCAGTAAATTTAACCATATAGACGATAATCCTAATGCTTCAGTGGCTGGACAACAAACAGTTTCTGACATGATTGTTGCTGATGGATGTGAATCTAGTGACAGACAAGAGCCTATACGGAAAGTTAGGATTGTAGAAGTTAGCGATAGGATGGATGCAGAACATGATGTTGATGGCCAACCACTTCATGATAGAGATGTTGAAGATCCTCAAAAAGATGGCCAACCAAATGAGATACCTGAACGAGAAAGAAAAATGACCGGAAACTGTAAACAAATTTCTGTGCAAAATGATCAGAGGAATGAGGGTTGTCAAGAAAATGGGCAACCAAAGAAGATTCCTGGAGGTGAGAGGAAAATAAAGAGAAAATTCCAGCTCAGGCTAGCACAAAATGAACAGGTTACTGGCCAACAACTATATAAAGATGCTGAAGAGGGCTGCCTGATTGAGATATCTGAAAGAGAAAAGGTAATTCGGAGAAAGTTTAAACAAAGGACTGATGAAAATGAACCAGAAGTTGATGACCAACAACCAGATAAGGATGTTGAAGATCGTTTGGGAGAAATATTAGAAAGCAGAGAGAACCTCAAAAAGAAATCCATGGAAGTGCAAGCCGAGAGGAAAGAAAATGAAGCTGATGGTGGGGGAGAATCTGATACCATTTCAACAGAAAGAGAACCCATTATAATGAACAATGAAACTCAGGATGAGCCTTCAAATCCTTATCCTAAAAAGAGGTCAAGTTTGTCAGCTAATACATCTAGGAAAGTTTCAGGTCTAACTGAGACAAGTCCCCCTGAGAAGTGCCAACTGGCTGGAGAGCATTCAAAGGGGCGGTGAGTAATCAACTGCTACAGAAGAAAACAATGTTTTTTGCATGCTGATTATTTATTTTATATTATATTAATTCATTTGTACTCCTTGTGTCCAAAAGAATAGCTCATGTATCTAACACCTTTCTTTGTCTCTAAAAAGGAGTCCAGTTTGAGCAAACACAACTAACTGTCCATGTAATTTGCCAAAAAAAAGCCTCATACAAGTTACATATATATGGTGATAATAAATTAACAAATAAATTTTGAAAATTATAACTATGAATAATGATTCTTGGAACGGGGTTAAAATGCTCCCCCATGTTTGCTTGATTATATGCTTCTGATTTGAACTTACTTGTTCGCTGCAGGAATTATGCATTTTGGAATGGGAAACGTAAGAAGGTAAGGTGGAGTGAGGAAGAAGAAGAAATGCTAAAGGTACAGAATGTGAAAAAGAGATTTCAAACATCAATTAATTGGTTGATGAGCTTACTATTAATATGGAAAAACTTTGCATATCAGTGGAGCTTCTAATGTGAGTTCTTATTGCATATTTGGCTACAGGAAGGCGTTCACAAATTCTCAATAACAGCTAATAAGAATATACCATGGAGGAAAATCTTAGACTTTGGTCGTCACGTGTTTGATGGGACCCGTACGCCGGCTGATCTCAAGGACAAATGGAGAACTTTGTGGGCTAATAAGGTGTAGTAGAAGTTTTAAGGTTTCTTTGTAGCAGTTTAAATACCCGGAAGTGATTTTAGTTCTCTTCTGGTGGAATGAAAAGAATGAAAAAGACCGATAAAACCCTTACATCTTGCTTAGGGTGCAGGGGTTTGATTACTGCATTGGTGTCCTTGTACTTTACATTCCTAAATTCCTTTCCATGTGATCTGTATTTTAGACTTTTAGTTCCGTTCTTTTGTTTTTATCCATAAATTGTAGGAAGTATGCTGCTAATTTATTATTTGTTGGGGGGTAAAAGATATATGTAGTAATAGATAAAGATTATAGAGTTTAAGGGGGGCATACCCCCAAGATTATCCAACAACATTCAGATAGGAAGAAACCTTCTACATTAATCTACAAGGTACGCAACATGCCTACCTAAGACTGAAATTGCAGAAAAGCCAAAACATAGGCCTCAACAAAAGAAAAAATCACAAAACTGCCAACAATCAAAACAGGGGAAATGGAGAATCATAAAAGTCAATCATGTTTCATGATTGAGGGTATATTCTACTCCGTATATAACACTTTATATATATATATATATAAAATCACTTTAATATGCAAAATCAAGTCTCTTCAACTGAGGTAACCCCTTCTCCAAATAGAGCTGTATTCCTCGCTTTCCAAATGAAATAAACTTTGCATGCAAAGGCGATGTGTTTTTTACAAGCTTATTTAACAAGCTTTGATGGGGATGTGTTTTTATGAAGCCTTTTGGGGGTATTTTCTTTAAATATTTCCAACTTCACAACAGTATCTTTGTTTATCTTCTTTTTTCGCTCCATTAAATATAGATGAAATTCATAGGAATAATACATACTTTAAGTGATTTTACATTAATAATTTCTATCTAGAGTGTTTTCGTTGTCAAAAAATCTCAAAGGCACCACTTTACAATTTGGAATAGTACAAATGTACAACTCGTAAACAATGTAAAATTGTAAATCTGTTCGACTTCGTGTTATTGCTATCACATGTCCATTCGCACCACCACCATTTTGATCAGTTACCCAACACTTAGCAATTCATTATTGTTGCCCAACTCAATTTCCAATCCATCAAGTCCTCACCTGTTCTTGTTTTGACAAACCAGTTAGCACTTAGCAGACATTAAAAACCAGAAACGTAAGAAACCTACAAACCACAAGGATTGCTAAAATGTGAAATCACCACACCAAATATAATTGCTTCTAGAGTTACTCGATCTGAGATGGTCGAGCATGCGAAGCAACTCGGTGATGGAGTGGTGGTAAAGTACATTTCAAAGGGTGGATAGGAAAGATGTATGGTATACTCTATATGCTATTGGTAACGAAGGTGGCGCCCTCATCATTGTTCTTCAATAGCGGGGTGGCGTCCTAGTGCACCCACAAGGATCTTCGATGTGAAGTCCCGTCTTTCGGATTCTGTATTTGCAGATGCTCCATCTTCATATGATCAAATATCAATGAGATAAAGGAAAGAAGATAAAACACTTCAGGATGAAAAATGGCTGAGGGAGGTAGAAAAAATGGCTTAGCTTGGTGAAGAGGACGGGAGATCAATAAATTTATTGGGGAATAGTGAGCAGGGGCGGAACTAGTAAAGAGCTTGGAGGGGCTTGAGCCCTGCATTTTTATATATATTCATTATATATATTAAATATAAATTGTAAATTGTAAATATTTATAAAATATGTGTGTTATACATTAATAACGACTATATTAATAAAAAGAGATTGCAGCAAAGTGGAGGTGGCATTGAGTGTGTGTCATGGGTTATGAAAAGGTCTAGGGTTTGAATCCCATCTTTGTTATTTTTATATTTTGCTTTACTTGTGTCTTTTTTAAGCTCTAAATTAATTTAAAATGGCTTTAAACAGTTGTATTCAAATTTTGGTGATGTACCATTTAGCTCTCTATTACATGGGGTAGGAATCACAATTTTGCTATGGCAACTTTCTCATCAAATCGACACATCATATTTAATTTCTTGCCTTTTTGTTTCATAAAAAATCTCATTTGATCTTGTATGTAGTTAAAATTGTGATTTCTCAGTTTACTTTTTGAGATATTATTTTTTAGAATAATATATACTATGTATATATATGTAGTACTCCCTCCGTTCCCAAAAATACTTCTCACTTTCCTTTTTGGGCTGTTCCCAAAAATACTTCCCACTTTCCCATTTTGGACAATTTGTGTGGCTCACATTCATTTTACTTTTTTCTTACACAACCACAATCATATATTTCCACTTTATTCCACTTTCTTAATAAGCGTGTCAAGTCAAACCGGGAAGAATTTTTAGGAACGGAGGGAGTATATTGTAAACGGTGGACGCAACATCTTACAGACCTTCGTTTTCCCATTAAGTGCCCTTCCAAGATCCCCGAGTTGGTTCCACGATAGTGAGAGTTGAGGATATTGTTGCATACTTGAGAGTTTGTAGTTCAAAGTTCAAACTTCGTACTCCCTCAGTGATGCTATCTTCTTTGTATGATCTTATAATTACGTTCATTATTATATGGAGTAGTAAATTTATCTTACACCATATTTAATACTCTTTGATTATGTAATTCAAACTCTTTCATGCATACCTTGGGGGACTTGCATGGCTCCTGACCCATTCTATATTTGGTAAAGATAATATATTTTTAAAAAATGTGTAAAAAATAGAAAAATTACATCGTATAAAATAATTCTTTTTATCCGTCTACCTCAATAACTTGTTCCGGCTAAACCACTTGCATCAAGCACATAATTATATTTATACACTCCTTAATGTGTCACCTTATCACTATTTCCCAAATGTATGTCCAAAAGTTGAATCTTCAACCCTAAGGGCCCCACGTCCCGACACGACAGGTACATCTATTTCCCAAATGTAATATGCGATGAAGTTGTACATTCGATATTTAAGTACTCCGTATATGTAATCTTAGAATAGGGTCTCTCCAATATACTATTCTCTAATGAATGATTTGATTTAAGAGTTTTCCATGAAATATTAGGATATTGTTACAGAAGTGATTATTGTCTGTTGTGAAATGAAGAAGATGAAGATCGAATTTGGGAGATAGATATATAGATAAAAGCTCTAAATTGCTTCTTCTTAATCTCTGAATATTTTCTCTGTTTCTGAAATGAATTTACAATGCCTCATCAAGCTCCTATTTATACTGTTTGAACTTGATGATTAGTCACTTAAGGGATGAATCTACAGATTTGGTGGCAATAACAATTTGAGCCATCTGTTCTAACTAGGTTACAAGAATTAAACATAATTTCTGGATTGATGACAAGGATGAACAATTCACACTTGTCATTTCCAGGATTTTACAACACTCCCCCTTGAATGTTCATCCTTGAATAGTTGTCTATTATTTTAAAAACTTATTGTGAAAATTAAGGGGTAAAAATTACGACTTATAATGTCGTTGTATTTGGATGTACTGTCTCGTTAAAAACCTTATCAGGAAAAACCCAGTGGGATAAAAACCTGATGAAGGGAAAAAGAGTGCAGTGCATTCAAATACTCCCCCTGAATTTAGTATAAATTATGAAGACGTCGCATGCCGATTTTCTGTACAAGTTCCATTAACTTCTTCGGGGGTAAAGATTTGGTGAAGAGATCGGCTGGATTTTCACTGGATCTGATTTGTTGAATGTTGATCGTCCCTTCTTTCTCGAGATCATGAGTAGAGAAGAACTTTGGTGATATGTGTTTTGTTCTGTCTCCTTTGATGTAGCCTTCTTTAATCTGAGCTATGCACGCAGTGTTGTCTTCGTAGATCACAGTAGGATGACAAGTAATAGACTTCATACCGCATTCATTTTGGATGTGTTGAATCATAGATCGTAGCCACACACATTCTCTTCCGGTTTCATATTGTGCAATTAACTCAGAATGATTTGACGATGTAGCTGTCAATGTCTGCTTCATAGATCTCCATGAGATTGCGGTGTTACCATAAGTAAATACGTACCCGGTTTGTGATTTCGCCTTTTGAGAATCTGATAAGTATCCAGCGTCTGCATATCCGATTAAAGCAGCTTTTTCATCTTTGTGGTAGAATAAGCCGAGATCAACTGTACCACGGAGATAACGGAATATGTGCTTGATCCCGTTCCAATGACGCCTTGTTGGGCATGAGCTGTATCTAGCTAATAAATTTACAGAAAATGCAATATCTGGTCTAGTATTATTAGCTAAATACATTAAAGCTCCAATAGCACTCAGATATGGTACTTCAGGACCGAGTATTTCTTCGTTGTCTTCTCGGGGACGGAATGGATCATCATGTATGTTGAGAGATCGAATGACCATTGGTGAAGTCAAAGGATGAGCTTTGTCCATATAGAATCTCTTCAAAACTTTCTCGGTGTAATTGGATTGATGGATGAAAATTCCATTCTTCAAATGCTCAATTTGAAGTCCGAGACAAAATTTGGTTCTCCCGAGATCTTTCATTTCAAATTCTTTCATAAGATATTTTGCAGTATTTTCAATTTCATCGGGAGTTCCAATAATGTTTAAGTCATCAACATATACTGCAATTATGACGAATCCCGAATTTGATCGCCGAATGAAAACACATGGACTAATCGGATCATTCTTGTATCCTTCTTTGAGAAGATATTCACTGAGACGATTATACCACATTCGTCCAGATTGTTTTAGTCCATACAATGACTTTTGTAGTTTAATGGAAAACATTTCTCGTGGTTTCGAGTTGTAAGTTTCAGGCATTTTAAACCCTCCGGGAACTTTCATATAAATGTCTGTATCGAGTGAACCGTATAAATATGCAGTCACTACATCCATTAGGCGCATTTGCGGCCTTTCAAAAACAGACAAGCCAATGAGAAATCTTAATGTAGTTGCATCAACTACTGGAGAATAGGTTTCTTCATAATCAATTTCCGGCATTTGAGAAAACCCTTGGGCAACAAGTCGGGCTTTATATCTTACAATTTCATTTTTCTCATTGCGTTTACGCACAAATACCCATTTAAAGCCCACCGGTTTTACGCCTTTTGGCGTAGGGACTATCGGTCCAAAAACATCACGTTTTTCAAGTGATTTTAATTCAGCCTGAATAGCTTCATTCCATTTTGGTCAATCGTGTCGTTTCCGACATTCTTCAATAGATGTTGGCTCATTGTCATTGTTTTCATTCATAACTTTTGTGGCAACGGCATAGACAAATATCTCATTAATATCAATATCTTTACGATTCCATTGCATTCCAGTAGAAACGTAGTTTATTGAAATTTCATAATTATCAACGTTTCTATCATTATCTGGAATATCTTCCTCATTTAAGGAAGTTGGATCATCATTTGAGATATTTGTTTTGTCAATATCATTTTCTATGCCAATATTTTCAAATTGTTCATTTTCTTGTTCAGAAGGATGAACATCTTTGGCATCACAGATCGATTCCTGCCTTTTAGTTTTTCTTGGTTTTATATCTTTCGATCCAAGTGGCCTGCCACGCTTTTTGCGTATAGAAGAATCGTTTGCAAAAGATTTTTCAGAATTCTCTGTTGGGATTTCGATTCTGGCAGGGGCATTCATGGCAGGAATATGTGACTTTGTCACTTTCTTTGTGTCTGTGAATGCATCAGGCAACTGATTTGCAACATTTTGTAAATGGATTATCTTTTGCACCTCTTGCTCACATATATTTGATTTTGAGTCAAGATGTGATAATCATGTTGCATTCCATGTTATTTCTTTCGTACTTGGGTCCAATTTATTAGTTTCTCCCCCTAAGGTTGGGAATACTGTCTCATTGAAATGACAGTCAGCGAATCGTGCGGTGAATAAGTCACCAGTCATCGGTTCAAGATATTTGATTATTGAGGGAGATTCAAATCCAACATAAATTCCCAACCTTCTTTGAGGACCCATTTTTGTACGATGAGGTGGAGCAATTGGAACATAAACAACACAACCAAATATTTTTATGTGTGCTAAGTTTGGCTCTTGTCCAGTAACTAATTGCATTGGGGAATATTCATGATATGCAGTCGGTCTAAGCCGAACTAAATTTGCTGCATGTAAAATAGCATATCCTCAAGCTAATGAAGGTAAATTACACTTCATTAATAATGGTCTGGCGATTAATTGTAATCGTTAAATCAAAGATTCAGCAAGACCATTTTGTGTATGGACATGAGCAACAGGGTGTTCCACATCAATCCCAATCGACATACAATAGTCGTTAAATGATTGAGATGTAAATTCTCCTGCATTGTCAAGTCGGATTCTCTTTATAGAATGATCCGGAAAATGAGCTCTTAATCGTATGATTTGAGCAAGGAGTTTAGCAAATGCTAGATTTCTAGTTGATAACAGACTGACATGTGACCAACGTGTTGAAGCATCAATCAACACCATAAAATATCGAAATGGTCCACATGGTGGGGCTATAGGCCCACAAATATCTCCTTGAATCCTTTCTAAAAATGCAGGTAATTCAGTTGCAATTTTATTCATAGAGGGCCTGATGATCATTTTGCCAAGAGAACAGGCCTTACAAGGAAAATCCCTTGATATTGGAACCCTTATATTCTTTAATGGGTGTCCAAGCGAAGTCTTAATGATTTTATGTATCATTACATGGCCTGGGTGACCTAAACGGTCATGCCACAACATGAATGTTTTCTGATCATCTAACTTTGTGTTAGAAACCGAATTTATTTCAAATGGACTAATAGATGTGAAATATAGTCCTGAGGAATATGCTGGCATTTTTTCACAAATATATTTAGTGCCAGATTTAGTTGTTGTAAGACAAATATATTCCTTTTGGTTTTCATTCATGGTTTCTATGTGATTATCATTTTGACGCATATCTTTAAAGCTTAATAAATTCCTCCGCGATTTGCTGGAGTATAAAGCGTCATTTATAATTATTTTGGTCCCGTTAGGGAGCATCACATATGCTTTCCCAGAGCCTTCAATGAGCTTCGCAACACCTGATATGGTATTGACTTTAGCCTCAACTAAAGTCATTTGAGAGAAATATATTTTATTTCTCAAAATGGTGTGCGTTGTGGCGCTGTCTATCAGACATAGCTCTTTATCATTTGAGTGATCCATATCTTCAAAATGTGTAAATAAACATAAGCTTGATCACAAATTGTGCATATAATTTAACATAAAGTACATATATTACACACATTTATTTAAAAACAAAAGAAAAACAGAAGAAAGAAAAAATACATAAAACTAATATGTTACCACATAAGGATCGGAGTCTAATATTTTATTTTGTGACATTTTGGTTTATTGCAAAAGCATTGTCCATAATGGCATCATCCGCGAAAAAGTCGGACACATCAAATTTTGGCAGAAGTGGAGTCGTGTCGTTGACATAATTAGCTTCCATATTTTTGTCGTTGTTCAAATTCATGGAAGCTTGAAATAATTTCACCAGATGCTTTGCAGTGCGGCATTTGTTAGCCCAATGCCCCGTCATGCCACATTTATAACAAGTCGTCTTTACCGAGGTTTTTGGAGGGCGATTTATTTGATGGGCCTTTTGTTTGCCCTTTCCCTTATAATTTGGTCTATTGACCTGTTTATATTCTCGGTGTGACTTGTTTTTATGACCATTAAAATGCTCACGTTTAAAATGCCTTCTACTGCCACTGTATGTTGCATTTGATTCAGTGACTAAATTATGGCCAGTTGGACCATAAATCGAAGGACTAGAACCAGTGGGTCTCAGATTATGATTTTTCATCAAAAGGTCATTATTTTGCTCAGCTACCAATAATACTGATATTAAGTCGGAGTATTTTTTAAAACCCTTTTCTCTATATTGTTGTTGGAGCAACATGTTAGAGATATGCATAGTAGAAAAGATTTTCTCCAACATATCAGCATCAGTGACTTTTTGTCCGCATAACTTTAATTTAGATGTTATTTGGAACATAGCAGAATTATAGTCACTGATTGATTTAAAGTCCTGGAATCTTAGATTGATCCAGTCATACTTAGGGTTGGATTCGGGCCGGGTCGGGCCCGGTCGGGCCGCCGGTTCTAGAATAGTGGGCCCGGGACCGGCCCGAGGGTTGGACGGGTCCGGTTCGGGCCGGGCCACCCGCCGGGCCGGGCCGGGTATTTTTTTTTTTAAATTTATATTTTATACTTTATAGTTTTATACAAGTATTAAAAAACAAACTTCAAGTGCATTTATTTGAAATGAAATAGGTACTACATTTGAAAATTAAATAGGAACTATAATTGTTTTTAATCGGAATCTCCGGCATAAGTAGAGCCACCCTCTGTAGATTCATCCATAAAGTGTTGGGATGGAGTGATGTCAATTTCTTGAGCTCTACGTGATGTCAATAGATATAATAAATATATAAGTAATATATAATTAGATAACAAATATAAGTAATATAATACTATTTATATCTATTTATAGTTTATATAAGTAGATAATTAATATAAACTATAAATAATAAATATAATATATTGGAGAATGGAGAATAAGAGAATTAGAGAGTAGAGAGTTAAGAATAGGATTTAGGAAGAATTGGAGAAGAGATATGAAAAAATGTTTAAGATTAGGAGTATTTATATGTTTTTTTACCCCCCACCCCCCCCCCCCCCCACCCCACCCCCACCACCCAACCCCCCCGGACCCCCCCTTTACCCCACCCAACGGCTATATAGCCGTTTGGGTTGTCCCCAGCCCCACCCCCAACGGCTAGTAGGAGACTAGGAGCCCAAACCAATTTTTTTTTTAAAAAATTGAACCGGACCCGGGCCCGGGCCTGACCCGGCCGGGCCGGGTCACAAAAATGCTGAACCGAGCCCGCCCCGCCCCTTCCCCCCGGTTCGGGCCCAGACCCGGTCCCGGACCGCCCGACCGAGCCGGTCCCGGGCCCGCACAGTACCGGGCCGGGCCGGGTCACGGGCCGGGTGGCCCGAACCGAATCCATCCCTAGTCATACTGAGCTTTAGGCAAAAGGACCTTTTGTTGGTGGCCATACCTCTCTTGTAAATTGTCCCATAATTCTTTTGGCTCATCAACCAAAAGATATTCAGATTTGAGACTTTCATGGAGATGGTGACGGAGAAAAATTATAGCTTTCGCTTTATCCTGGGATGATGATTGATTATCAGCCTCAATGGTGTCTTCAAGACCATTAGCCTTCAAATGTGCTAAAGCATCAACTTTCCATTCCAGATATTTTTGTCCAGACAGATCAAGGACATCAAATTCTCTTTTGCTTATGTTGGCCATGATATATACTACATGAAATTATTAATATACATTTTATTAGTCAAAATGTTTATATATTTTTGTATTATTACTAATCAATATTGGGTACAATTAGTGATTTTTTTTTAGATTCATATCAAACACTTAAAAAAAATGAAAATGAAAACTTGAAATAATTTAAACCCGCATGTGACTATCAGATAAACAAAAACTAGCAGAATGCATTTAATATTTTAAATGTTGAGTTCAGTTGTAGTCCGTGATTATCTGACCAAAAGAGACTGCCGATCTGCAGTTCAATATATATAAACAAATATATTGTGTAGCCACATATAACAAAGAGACAAAAGTTCATGCATGCAATTGCCTTATCTGAATACTACACGCACCACCATAGAAGGATCACAATTTTAATACTTATGTTACCTCCTACACCACCAATTTATAATACTACGTATTATCCTCCTTTTTCTTTCAAGTTTCTCATCTTGTTTTTTTTCAGATAGAGCATTCTAAATTTATATCCCTTTATTCTTTCTTTTACATAGACTAGAGAGTATTATTATTATGAAGTATCATGATTGAAGCCAATTTATAGAACAGAGGTATGTGTACTACGAGTGTAGAGATGTTTCACTCATTCATTCTTTATTACAGTGTATATTACTCTCATTTCTCTTATGAAGAGTTTTTACGGATTGAGGAATATTTAAATTAAAGGTATGTCTGCATGTTATTTTTATTTTCTTTTATAGGAAATTTATTTAAACTAGAAAATAATTTTTAGGTTTAAATATTAAATGAAGATGGTAAATATTGATGCTAATACCTGCAGGAGATGGTGAATTCTTGAAGAGCTTTTGAGCAGATTCGTGTTGATAACGTGTTGTGAAATGAAGAAGATGAAGATCGAATTTAGGAGATAGATATATAGATAAAATCTCTAAATTGCTTCTTCTTAATCTCTGAATATTTTCTCTGTTTCTGAAATGAATTTACAATGCCTCATCAAGCTCCTATTTATACCGTTTGAACTTGATGATTAGTCGCTTAAGGGATGAATCTACAGATTTGGTGGCAATAACAATTTGAGCCATCTGTTCTAACTAGGTTACAAGGATTAAACATAATTTCTGGATTGATGACAAGGATGAACAATTCACACTTGTAATTTCCAGGATTTTACAACATTGTCAACATTTTTTAAATGATACTAATGAATTATTACAACTGGAAAATAATGAGTGTTATTATGTCATATCATTGATAGTGTCACCACCATGAGGTCGTGAACATGGATGGCACTTTGAATGCCAACGATTTTTCCTGGTGATATCTTCCAATGTGGGAAGTTGGGTAAGGATTAGAGAGACAAGAAATTTGAATTCTTACAGGGAAAAATCTGGATATAGGAGAAAAATATAACATTTCAAAATAAGAATACTATATTCTTCCCTTAATAGGAGTATATTAGAAATTAGATTACCATATTTTCTAAGCTATGTCAATAATGACATATGAAAAAAAAACATAATGCTTTCATATGCCTTTGCTTTCATTTAGGACAATGTATTTATTTGATACTCTGTATAAGATTAGCCACTTTTTTGAAAAAATAATCAATTTTTATCAATTTTATGCATCTCTTTCTTGATTAATCATCAAATCTAAAGCACAATATAACATGCTTTTAATCATCAAATCTATTTCATAATATTACATGTTTTGTCGTAATAATAGCTTCGGGGGGGGGGGGGGGGGGGGGGGGGGGGTCGGCCAGTTGGCTAGATTCAGTACCTGTGTATAAAAACTAAAGAGCACCGGTTTTGTAGGGTGGACCTGGTACAGTTCCGGTTAAAGACTAGCCAGTTGTGGGACCTCTAAAGCGTATTACCGCTTGCAGTACCGGGATCGGGACTAACAGCGTATTGCCGCTTGAAGTGCTGGGACCGGGACCGACCGGGTATGACCTGGTTGGGTTTTATACCAGAACCAAGGTCCAAAGTCCAAACTAGTGTACCCTATGTAAATCATAAATTACATGCCGTATTTAAAAAACAACCTACCTTGTTATTTGAATTTAAACTAAGTGCTAACACAATACATAATGTATCTCTCAAGAGTTGCAGGCAAGGAGGATGATAATAATAACAATGTACATAAAATAAAGATTCTAAATGGTAAAACCAGCCGAGAAGAGCAACGCTTTCAATCACCCTATTGCAAAAGGTCCTTAGGCCGAAAACTGTGTATGAAAGGCAGATATACCTGAACCACTCTTAAACACATATCTAGTCTTAGATGACGGTACCGCTGGGAATCAATGCGTCCTTGATTATCGTCACAATTCCACTCTTTATGAAATATCCATCACTTTCCCTGGCCGCTTCTTGAATGTTGTCACTGTTGACGATCTGGTGATGTACAACCAACACGCGAGTTATTAGTGTGTTTATGCAATGTTAATGATGTGATTATCATGTCAACCGCATCTTATCATATACTCCCTCCGTCCTGAAATGAAGTTCCCGATTTGATCTACACACATATTTATGTAAAATAGAGTTTTTGTTTTGACTTTCAAATCAAGCAAAAAGTGGGTAAAAAGTAAGGGTAGTTGTGACTTTTTAGTTAAAAGTGGTTTCCTTTTATAGAAATGAGAACTTCTTTTTGGGACATCCATAAAAGGAAAGTGAGAACTTCTTTTCGGGACGGAGGTAGTATAGGAGAGCATCATATTACAGTGTTGAGGTATACATTTTTATGCTACGCATAGATACGTCAAAGATTCAAGTTTCTATGGCCTTGACGTCTCATTCCAATAGAAACATGTTTAGAATGGAAGGGTTTAATGCTAAAAACCATACATGATTCAAAAAATGCATCAAAACTCCTTGTATTATACGGAGTAATTATTAATCATGCAAATAATGCCCTTATCTGGAAACTAATGTTTAGAATTCATATCAGAAGGGGTTTAGAATTACATTATTCAATAAGAGAATCATGAATTCTGGAAACTAGATGCATCACATATAGCCACTAAACCATGATCTTTCATCATTTCCCAAGATACAGGTAAATTCCAACATTTTGAACTGCTTTTTTCCTTTCTAATTCTCAATTATTAATTCCCAAAAATGATACTACATATAAGGTACTCTAATTCAATCCCAATTCCCAACTATCAAATCAACCCGAACGAGAAGAGAAGAAACAAGAAAGCCGTTTGATATCACACCTTAACATTATCGCCGATACGAGCATTCTTGTCAATGATTGCCCTTTTAATGTGGGAGTTCTTGCCGATCCCAATTGGAACACTTCCCTTTGCAGCCAGAAGCCTTCTGTCAGCATCCGTCTGAAGCAAAATGACAACCAAGAACATTACTCATATTATTACAAAAACATGAGCCACTATCAAAATATTTCCTCCTCATCCAGAAGCCAGGTTTTTTAACCAAGAAGTAAAACAAATTGACTCTTAAGCATTGCATGGATTGCTACCTCATAGTAATCTGCTCCCATCAGCAACGTATCTTCTATAATTGCACCTTCTGAAATACATGATCTAAGTCCAACCACAGAGTGATGAATTTTACAGTTCTACACCACAAACAAACTCGCAATGAGAAGCCACATAGATCTAATGCTGTGTAGAGTTGGTTAATCGTTTTGATGAACTGAAACGTGACCCGATTAAATATTGAATGCTCAGATTGCCATTTACCTTTATCACGCAACCTTCACCAATGACACTGTCTGTAACATCAGCATCAAGCATTTTGGAAGGAGGTAAATAACGAGGTTGAGTGTAGATTGGAGCTGATCGGTCATAGAAGCTTCAAGAAGAAAATGATGACTGTTTAGTGTTTTAAATTAACAAAGCACCGTCAAAGAAGCAGTATAATATAATCATATTATAATAATAACTGTTATACTAGTAGTTATTATTATAACAACCTGAAGTCTGGCACTGGCTTCTTAGTAATACCCAAATTGGCATTATAGAAGGCTTCAATTGTACCGATGTCTTCCCAGTAGCCATCAAACAAATAAGCTTGAACCTGCACAGATTTAACAGTGAGACTTCTCATGGAATTACTAGTTTATATGATGACTATACCAACTAAAATTGAGAAGTAGTTGTGCATTACAATATAGACTTTGAGAAGGAGCTCAGGCACATACTCTCAATCCAAGCGCGGTTGCACCAGGAATAACTTCACTTCCAAAATCATTAGCTCCTGGGAACTTTTCTCGAAGTAGATTGAGCATCACATCTTTGCTAACCACATAAATCCCCATACTTGCAATGTAAGGCATCTCTTTAGCTCTCTCATCATCAAGACCTAAAATAGTGGTATCAACCTGAAATGAAATAATAAGATTCTTCATTATTTATTGAAAAGTTTAGAACTCAAACCCCATTAGTTTTACATGCGTGAATAGTTACTTTTTTTTACCTTCATAGATTTCAACTGTTCTCCTTTTGGTTTCTCTGCGAATTCAGTAATCCTTCCTTCTTCATCAATCTTCATGAGGCCAAAAGCAGTTGCACGTTGCTCGTCCATCGGCAATGCAGCAACTGTGATGTCTGCATCTGTTTCTCTGTGTGCTTGAATGAACCTCTCATAGTCCATTCGGTATAGGTGATCACCAGCAAGAATTAGGAACTCAAGAACATTGTGCTCCTCAAAAAGCCACAGATATTGCCTCACTGCATCAGCAGTACCCTGCCAAATAATATGAACTCATCAGTAATAATATTTTGGTGAATACCAAGGTAGTCAAAGGCGTTAGGCGCACTCAAGGCGACAGGGTTAGCCTAGCGTCTGAGGCGCAAGGCGCAAAAAAGCGCTCGCCTGACTCATGTCAGGCGCACTGCTTAGAAAAAATAACACATACTATTCTCCAACAATCAAACATGATGTACCAGTTCACCATATTGAAGGAAATGCATTAAGAAGTCATGTTTCTTACAAATAAAGTCATGCTTCACCAAAATAAAGTCACGATTGACCAAAATAAAGTCATGATTCACCATATTGAATGGATACCAACATTAACTTCCATGCACAACAACCAAATTGGAATGATTACTATTGAAGTAATTACCTGGAACCAATTGGGGTTCTCTGGGCTTTGCTGAGCAGCAAGAACTTCCACGAAGCCTTCGTTTTTGTATCCACCCAAGTTACTTGCATATGCTCGTGAGAGGTGACGATTAAGTGAAGCAGAGTTGAATTGTGTGAGAACATAAATCTTGGAAATATTGCTGTTCAAGCAGTTGCTCACTGGGATATCAATCAGGCGATAATTTGCTCCGAGTGGAACAGCAGGCTTCGCCCGCTTCTTAGTAAGAGGATAAAGCCGCGTCCCGGCACCGCCTCCAAGGATAATACCCAAGACACTCTGATAAATTAAACAGACCAAAGTCAGGGAATTAATGTATCTTTAATGCTAAAAATCAGGACGGGAAGATGTGTATGCTTCTTTTTTAAAATCAAGTGCTTGTAATTTGTTCCCAAGTTAAGAAAGCTTAAACATTGCTTCGCCTAAGAAAGGCATGCCTTTATGTCTGCAACAAACAAATCATTCAACTATTTAGATGAGCAAATATTTCAACTTTAAAGTTAATATTCTTCCTATTGAATTCCTAGTTCGGAGATGTATAAAGATCCCATACTATTAATACACACAGCATATTATAATATCCAACTCGAGGATTGAGAGAGAGATTGTTTTCTCGAATTGAGACTTGAGGTATCACAAGATACTAATTTCATAAAAACATTCAAATAACCAAAACCACATTAGCCGTGGTAAAAATGAAACAATTGTACCAGCTAGTCAGCTACTTGATCATGAGTAATCTCTACAAATTTGCTCAGCTAGTCTGATAGAAAGAAGCACAACTATTAAATCTGGTTTTTTTTGGCTTATAATATAGTTTCTAACCAGTCACTCGGATCCCCCCCAGGGATATTGATTTGTTTTTCTAACACACAGAACCATTCTGATCAGTAAATACAAGTATACAACATAGATTTTCTATTGTGTGTATACATCATACAAGTAAAACGATAAACTTTATCTGAATTTGGCAGTTAACATGAGAATGCGCAACGATGAAACTATTAACTTACTTTGCTAGCTTCAGGGTCGAGACAAGTCTGCGAATTTTGTGAATCGGAAACAGCCTTAGGAGAAACGATAAACGGAGCATTCCGAACAGCGGAGGCTTTCTCTCCTGAACGCATCCGTGGAGAATTCAATGGCAGCAGCTTATCGCCGGAGAGATTAGATGAAGCGAACGACAGTCTCCGGTACGACATCTTGCTGGCGGCAGCACCGTCGATCCTCTCGCCAGCGCCGGCATACAGAGACGGTAGAGCTCCGATCGCAGCCGCCATTGCGTCGCCGCTCTGAGCTCCGGTGCGGACTGTGATTGAGTGTGAGTTGAACTGTGGGTGATTCTGCAGAAATTTGGACGGGAATGAGCGGTCCTTATATAGCAAGAGTTCTTTCAGTGTTATAATCGGAGATTTGCTTTCACTCTTTGCCCTTACACTTGTCAGAATTAACAGTAAGGCCTTCAAAACGAGCGTTACGCATTCGAATGATAAAGGGCATAATTGGTAGTCCAGTTGCGAGTAATTTATGGAGGAAAGGGAAATAAGAGGGGATGAATCGATTTATTTGTTTTTTTTGAATATATGACACGATCACGTGTGGCGTGTGAAGATATATGGAATCGGCTAATTTGCACCGTCGGTTAAATTATTTCATTGTTTTATTAACCAAATAATTTGTGATGGGGTCCATCAGGATAGCTGATTGAAGCAATACTTCTATATTCACTCACCAAGTGTGTTTCAGTTTGTGTGCTTGGAGCCACATGCAAATTCCTGGAAAAAAAATGTGTGTATTTTTAAAATATGAGTATTCCTTCATAATAATAAAGTGAGTTTTTTGACAAGATTTATGTCAAAATGAGAGAAATGATATGAGTCACAATTAATCGATTAGAAGCGAAAGTAATGAAGTTTTTAACAAAAATTGAAGATGACCAAGGCCATGTTTAGCACAATGAGCTGAAACTGAAAGGTAATGTCTGAAATAGGGCCTATTGTCTGAATTATAATTTATTGTCTGGAGCTGAACTTTGAAGTGTTGAATCTGAACTACTAACTGAATGAAGTAGACCCGTTTGACATAAGGAGCTAAAAAAGTATCTGGATAATACAAAATTACATTAAAGGGTATTTGATTAAATAAAAGAATAATATACTTGTACTACGTAGTGTAATGATTTTGTATATTTTTGAATATATCAAGTAAAGAATAACATTTTGGATGCAGTAATGCACTATTTTTGTCCTACAAATTTCAATGTAAATCTCCCTCTGGAATATAACCTGACAAGTCATATGTGTAAAAAGAATTACGAGACGTTTTAAAGCCACTTTTAAAACAATGAAACAATTTTATAGAAAAATGATTTATCAACGATTGAGTTAATTAAAATGAAGTATGGTGATGACGTGATGATTAAATTACATCATATACGCAATAGAATTTGGAGGAGTGAAGTATCTTGCGTTAAGGATAGTATGGGAACAAAACGTCTAGAAATATCAGGCTGAATATAAACGTTGGTGGTCTAAGCGTTTGATTCCAGCCTATTATTTTCAGCTTAAGCCATTTTCAGCCCATCAACCAAACATGATTATTTTAATCATAATGGTTTGAATTGAAAATATTTCAGCCATTTATTAGCTGAAGGAGCATACCGAACATAGCCCAAGCTATACTCAGAAATTAGTTGGTCAAATTTAACTTTTTCAAGTTAATGGTGTCTAATTTTGATCTATTATACACTATCTATTTATATAAAAATGATATAAAAATGTTCTTGTTGAAAATATTATCATAAAACTAGGAATTTATTAAATTTAGTAACTAAAATGGAACGGTGGTAATAAGAAATAGAGGAAGTATAGTAATATAAATTAGTTATGTTTATTGTGAATTATAAGCCTGTTTGGGAACTCTAGAATTGACTAAATCTACTTAAATCAATTAGATTTTGGCTTAAGCGGTTGAATCTATTGAGTTATGAAAAAGTTATATTTAACATATATTTTGGTTATAATAATGAAATATCATATGAAAAATAGCTAAAATATACATCTTCAGTGACTTCATCCAATTCAATCAGAAAAATAACTTCAACCTTAATAATTTGGGAGAATTTGACTTTACACCCTATTTAAAAAATCATTGATGTATGCACCTCAACTCATTATAAAATCATTTGACTTGACACCCCACTCCTTCACAATTTTTGGGTTGATAGGGTGCATACATTAATGATTTTAAAAACAGGATGCAAAGTCAAATATTACCTAAAACATGGGGTGCAAAGTCAAATTCTCCCTCATGATTTTGATTATTTCATAATTCAACGCGCAAAATCAATAATTGCGTGTTTGGTAAAAAAGTTGGTCAATAAGGTTAATAAGTTGAAAATAAGAGTTACCAAATAGTCGAACTCTATACATAATGTCTTTTTTGGCTTTCTCATCATTAATATGACAATATTTTTGTGATAACTCAAAGCATGTTTCAAACATGAAAGAAAGTTACTTCAGGATATAAATAGTACGTAGTACTATTTTTACTATTATAATCATGATAGCTATGTCGAAATATCACTCGCAATGTGTAGAGAGAAGACTAAGCTAAATAGTTAGAGAGAAGTAATAATATTAATCAATGATCCAACCGTCATAATGGATGTTAATGGTGTTATTTATACTAGTTATAAAAGTTTATGGATTAAATGCACATGTAAACTAGTATATGGTGGGGCTTTAATGTAAGGCAAAACTGAGCATGTGACGGTGCATTAAATGGGCTACGGGGCTTCACGTGGCCCGTTGAACCTATATATTTTCCACCTTTTACTATTTTTACGGGATAAATATTATGTCGTATAATATAAACTAGGATTATGTTTGGTAGTTCAAGAATGTGTTACATTCCTTACAAATAAAAATTGGATTGATGTGTCATCACTTTGTTGGATGTCCACCTCAAGTAGTCTCCTTTATGTGAAGTATTAAGTTCAAATCCCATAAAAAATGAGGGGGTCTTGTCTTTCATAGTTCTCATTACCTTCACGAAGTAGTTCAACGGGTGAGAGAGATGGTGATAATGAATGCAACATGTTCGTGTGGTTGGATGAAATGCCAAGTGACACGTGTAGTAAGTCATACTGGATTCATTTTTAGAATGACTACCAACAAAACCCGATTTGTGACCGGCTCTAAACTTACATGTTTAGAGATTTTGAACAGACTCCAAGACTATTCGAGCATAGGCCCTAACACCTAAGTTATACAAAAAGATTAATTTGACATGCGAGACTACATTTCGAATCAAGCTTGGAGCTAGGAGAATGAGAATTGAAAAAAATGGCCTTATCTGACATGTATGCCCTTCAATATAAGTATGTTTTTAACTTGAGCAATCCTCCTTCCGTATCCTCATACAGTGTGGAATTGTTGGAGACAATATACACTTTTTTTATTAATTGTCTTATTTTCACTTGGAAAAAAGTGATGGGGGTGATCTTAATGGCTAATGGTGTGTTGTCCCAAAGTGGCAAGTTGCTGTGCTATGTTATCATCACCAGCAAAGTTACGCTAATGTGGTCTATCTTTAAACAATAACTATGATCACTGATTTTTTTACTCTATAAAAGTCCAGCTTTCCAATATCAAGAATATATTAATTACTCATCTTATACAAGAAAATATTAATTACTCATCTTATAGTTATTATTGACTGTGCTATCAATCCTATCATCCATAATTTCTCCAAAATTGTGCTGACATCCCCAAAACTTTCCAATATTTGATATTCACCTTTTTGGGTCGTTGACTCACCATTTTTATAAATTAGAACTTACTCCCTCCATCCCAGAATTATCTTCATACTTTCCTTTTTCGTCCGTCCCAAATTTAGCTCCTCTTTACCTTGTTGGCAAAGAATTTGTGGTTCACAAACATTCTTACACATTTCTCTCTCATCTGCACAACTCTCCACCACACAATTCTCACTATCTTAATATGTTTGCCCGGTCAAAACCGAAGTTTTTATTGGAACAGAGGGAGTACTAAATATCAACTTTCTACCGTGTCACATATTACAACTCTTTAATTTTTCATGAGTGTTGGGATATTGACCTAGAGGCCCAATACCCAGATCGGGAAGGCCCAAGATATCCGGCCCAAGTAACAGGTCCATCACTCTATGATGAAAAGATCCAGTAAGGAGACATACCGAACGGAGTTCGGCCCAAATAAAGATTGGCCCAGTAAGAAGACATACCGAACGAGGTTCGGGCTATATATCATACTTGGGCCAATTTGACAGCTTCTTCAGTGCAGCCCAACATCCCATTCGAGCAACGGCCAACCAGCAAGTGGCCAGGTGCAATTAATGCCAGACTATGACATCAGCAAATGGAAGCATGGATGACCAAGTCGGTGGAACAACGGCCAATCAGCAAGAGGCAGTCCATGTTCTTCATTATTATAAATAGAAGGTTTCAAGTCATTGTAAGGGTTAGCATTTCAATACTCAAGCTCTAGAATAGCATCATTTGCCCTTACTTCTTGTATTAAAGCATAGTTTCCGACTTACCGATCGGGAAATTCCTTGTAATCAGATTGGTTAATTAATACAAGTGAGCTTTCGAGTTTTAGTTAGCTCAGATCTTATATTTTCTTTTACGCTTTGATTCTGGGCCATTCCTGATATATCCAAAATTCGTGTTGGGCTTTCGGATCTACGGGACTTACCCTCAACATTGGCGCCGTCTGTGGGAAACTTGCAAAAAGTTTCACTTTCTAAACATCCAAAAAAAAAACCTCTATTTTTAAAAAATGGTCAGAATCAATTCCTATCATACAAACGACGGTTCACACCGTCACGGGAGGAGTCACACCCCGGGGAGTCAAAACCCCCAGGGACAATCCAGTCGAGGATCGTATCCTCGTTTTAATGGGGATTTTGTGATTCCCGAATCTCTGAGAAGAAATCCCCAGGCCATGCGTGACATGGCCCAATTCATGCAGCACATGGCGAACGAAGAGGAAGGAGGTTCCAGCTTTACAGGAGAAACTCCACGCGCGGAAACGACCACAGCGTCATCCCGCTCACATACCCATCGGGATAATCGACGTAGCGCCCCACCAGCAGCGCATCCCAGTCCCAGTGACCGAACCCTGGTCGGGTCGCAAGCTAGAGGACCCACTCCCGCCGGTCATCATTTCCAGTATGCCGAGCGGGAAAATACTAGGGCCCCTCAGCGGCATTGGGACCGGGACTGTACGGATATGAGGGTTCCACCGCCGCCCCCTTTGACGGCCCAGGAGGAAGAGATGGCCGAGATGAGGAGGCAAATGAATGAAATGCGGGACCAGATGAAC